TGTATCCCGTTCACAGTGTCTGTCTGGCACCGTGAACTGGCATTGAGAGAGGAAGTAATAAGTCAAAGAAGGAATGAGATAGTAAACTGACTGTGTGTATTTTTCCTGGAGATAGGGGGCAGTACATACCTAAAATATTGCAAGCATGCAGTAATTTTATGTTTCAGTCAGACCTTACCAACCACACAACTTCCAGCAAAATGACAAGACCATCAGACTCCCTTTCATCACTGGCAACGAGTGAAGAGGTAAATGTATAAAACAACAATGTTTATGAATGGTGAAAGTTTCCATAACTTTTACAAATCAGTAAAGGCATCTTGTCCTCATGGGCTCCCATAGCAGGAAACATGGCATTTAACATGGTATCGCCCAGAGATTTAGAACCTTCTCCCATGTATTTTAAACCCGATTTTTATTAATATGTGTTGTGAAACTTCAACTATTTCTCAACAACTGGGTGTTGTTTAATTAATTTCCAACATTTTGATGGGCTTTCCAGAGATTCATGGTAAAAACACTACACAGTGTCACTGTCACTATGTCTTTGGAACAAGATAGTTAACTTGTTGTTTATTACTTTCTTTTTTCCCAAATATGCATCTTCTCTATGATGTACTGTTTGTTTCCATGGTTCATTTTTAAATCTGTTGTGATTATCTTGAGAAAGTGCCATGTAAAAGATTTTCTTCTTCTTCTGGACAAGGTTTAGTTTAACCAGGCCTATCCCAGATGAAGGGATTATAAATGTGTGAATTGTTCCTACAGTAAGAATAGGATCTTATTTTGTCCTTTTAAAACAAACTTATGTGGTAATAGATTATTTATTTTCAACTAAAGCTGTCTCTTATTCACCGCTGCTTTTTGCCAAACAATGGTTGATGATTTTCCTGTAGAACAAATGTGATTTGTTACAACCGTTGAACGTTTAAGAAGCCGTGGAGAAAGGGCTTTCTCTGTCTGTGCACCGAAGCTGTGGAAAGCATTACCACTGCTAGTGAGGCAAGCACCAACAGCTAGCATTTTTAAATCACGCTTGAAAACTCACTATTTCAACCTGGCTTATACAACATAATGATGACCATCACTTACATCTGCACTGTTTAAAAATGGACTTTACAATATCAACTTCTGTACTATTGAGGTTCTTTTTTAAAATGTTTTTCTTATTTTTTATTCTCCCTGTGTCTTATTGATTTTTAGCTGTTAGTTTTTGGGAATTTTGTTGTATTTTCCTTTTTATCTTTTATCTGTGTTCGACATGTTTGTATACCGCCTGTTTAATTAACTAACATTTTTAGTGTACAGCGCCTTGTTTGGTTGTAATGCCTTGTGAATGCGCTTTATAAATAAAATTGGATTGGATTGGATTTCTAGCTTAAGTTTCTTTTTTCAGCACCATGGACAACTCCTGCTCCAGTTCCCTACTTATTCCTACTTATGCAGCACCCTGGACAGCAGCACACCCTTCACTAGTCTCACGATTCGATTAAGATTATTGTGTCAACGATTAGATCAATATGGAGCCTAAGTCACTTCCGCAAGTACCCAGATGTCATCCACAGCGTTCGTTTGGGTCGAGCCGCCGAAGATGGACGTCCTTGAGGAATCATCATCCAGTTCTCCATGAGACACCATCGTGATGCGGTATGGAAGGCCGCAAAAAAATCATCTTTCCTAAAGGCGGAGAATCTACATTTTAAGGAAGATCTTTCACCTGAGGATCGCCTTCAAAGAAGCCTGAAATGGCCCATGGTCGAGAAAGCACTCTTCATCGACGGAGGAGGGAAAAAAGGAGAACTCTATGCCCCAAACATCTTTACCACAGAGTAAAAAGTTGTGGGGAAGAATACCCAAAGCAATGCTGGTTAGTGTTCAAATGAAAAGACATAGTTCATTTACATGCAGCTCAATTACTTCATTCTATATGTATTTGTTATGAGAGCCTGTCACTTAGCACTGTTTTTGTTTATATCTACATAAACATTCTATCGTTATAAGACAACATTTCAGGTTTAAAACTAGTTTTGTTTAACGCACGGGGATTAAAAGATAACACTAAAAGAAAGGCAGTTTTTTTAATATGTTAAACAACTTAAAGCGGATTTATGTTTAATTCAAGAAACTCATTCTGTAGCTATTGATGCAAACTTCTGGAGAACACAGTGGGGAAATGAGATGTAGTTCTCTCATGGCTCAAATTAGTCAGCAGGTGTCGCCATTTTAAAACATAACTTCAGTGGGAAGGTTCTGAGCTCCACCTCAGATGCAAATGGACATTACATACTTTTAATTTTAATGCTAGATGAAAACGTATACCTTATAGGATGTGTTTATGGCTACAATTTGAAAAAGGAAAATTCTGAACTCTTTGATATTCTGGAAAATAAAGTAATTTTTCTCCGTGTCTGGTTCGATGACGTCACTTTTGTGAAGCGCATTTGTAGTCCTGGAATTATTTTCACGCAAAACCTAAAATAGGGCTTCCCCCGTTCGAAATTTAGCACATTCTTAGTATCAAAATGTGTCTTTAAAATTCACAGACATCATATGTGAAATCCATGGCACAAAACAAGCGCAATTAGAAAATAGCATTTTTAACCCCATTGACTCGCATTCATTTTTTCATTCTTCCGAGGACCCATGGTCCGGAAGTGACTTAGGCTCCCTATATATCACGATTATTTCATTTGGATTTTTTTTATTGATAAATAAAAGATGTCAGATGTTTTGTACATTCATTCCTCAACAGAAAGAAAAGAACAACCAAAACAAAGAACCAGAAATCCAGAAACATTAGAACCAAAACCAGTGATAATCCTTCCATACATCAAAGACATAACTGAAAAACCAATAGCAGCAATGAAAAAACACAACATAAACAGACCAACAAAACCCAGTTAGAAAAAGACTAGTACATCAAAAAGATATCAGCAGGACATAAGTGTGGAGTCATTTACGCAGAGGTGTGGACTCCAGTCACATGACTTGGACTCGAGTCAGACTCAAGTCATTATTTTAATGACTTCTGACTTGACTTGATAAAATCTATAAAGACTTGCGACTTGACTCGGACTTGAACGTCAATGACTTGCGACTTGAATCAACGTGCATCTGTTGACTTGATGATGGCTGAGCATATTTGAGCACAAAAGTGGCACGACATGAACAAAAATCATAAATCATTCTTCGTTCTGGGTGTGATCTTGTTCTGCTAAGTGCAGCAGCACTTTGTTTATAATCAGTTTCAGTTGCACTTTCTGCTTGTTTGAGCAACTTTAAGAAGTTTTATTTCCGGAATTTATTTATTATCATTGTCATTAAATTGAAGTTGGACAGATGACTTAAGGACTTGGACCCGACTTGGACTTCCACATCATTGACTTTGGACTTGGCTGTCTTTGACTTGGACTTGACTGGAAAGACTTGAGACCTACTTGTGACTTGCAAAGCGGTGACTTGGTCACACCTCGGCATTTACGAAATACCATGCAAAATCTGCAAGAAAACATAAATACGAGAAACCGAACGTCAACTCAACACGCAAACAATAGAACACAGAAATGAGTGTGAGAAAGAAAAGTGAAGACACACAAGACCAGCACAACAAGAAGCAGAAAGTACAACTAAAAAATCAGCCGTACAAGACCAGTACACGAAGGGAAATGATATAATGGACTGGGACAGCATAAGGATCATAAGCACCAAACAACAAAATTCCAATAGATGGATTAAAGAAGCCATAGAAATACGGAGACATGGACACACAACCATGAACAGAGACGATGGGATCTACACATTGGATCACGCATGGGACGGTGTCAGTGGTGAGGAGATTGCGGGCAGCAGAGAGCGACATCGTCCTCGGAGGAGGAAGTCGCCAACAGCGACAAAGCTCTGAGGAAGACTACAGCGTTAGTTGAAAGAAACGTCAGCAAAAACAAGGTAAAAGCAACTCTTTTGCTGTGTTAAAAAAATAACCAAATTGTCAGACACAACATGTCATCCCTGCAAAAGCTCTTCAGTCACAACGGCCCTTAGGACAATGTAAAAGTACAAAACATTTTAAGTATTTAGGACATTTATTTTGGAACCAGGGAGTAGAGAAAATAATCTTGACACACAGACTTTTAAACATTTGTCTTTAACATGTTCAGGTTAAACCTGTAAAAAAAGGTCATTTCTTTCATCTATCTGCCCAAAATCACGACTTTTTCAGGAAGCAGACAGGAAACATGTGATTGTGTGTTTGTGTGTCCTGACAGTCACACATTGTTTTTGACAAACCTCTTACCAAATCCAATACTTGGTGTGAAAATATAATAAAACATTAGGCCTGACTGATTTCGAGCCCATCATGATTAGTGATTTTATCAATATAAAATGTGATTATTCAGTAATAGAACTATTAGATCTTTATTATTACAAATGATTTCATTATTATTATTAGCATTATTTTTTAGTGATCATTTTTTTATTTGGATAGAGGTTTTTGTCCGCTGCCAATTTTTCTGTTTTTTCTGCCTTCATTTGTTGATGTTGGTATTTGATCTTGTCACGTGACCAGATGTTCATTATTTAGGGACATCTGGGTATTTTCAGATGGTTTATACCCCTGAAGGTCATACGTGTCCGAAACGCGTCGGCTTTTTCTTGCTCAATAAAATCAAATCATCAGAGTGCCTCGGATTACCTGTTTCTCTTTCTCGTTCTCATCTAATAATTTTTTTTATAAATAAATAAATTATTTTGAGTTTGGTGTATTTTTGATGAAACTGCACCAGAAGCATGAGTATGGCATTTCCATTTACTGCAAGGTCTCACCTTTCAGTTGAATTCATCACATCACACCATAGTGAACTTTCTATCACCTGATGCCTCTGGAAGAGGCAGTAGTTACCTGCAGTAGTCACAGGTCAAATATTTACTAAAGGAGTGTGCAAGATAACTGAAGAGTGACTATTTTATGCAGCAGCATATAAAACATGGACAGGCCAAGATGGACAAAAAAATACATCTTTATTTTGCAAATCTGCAAACACTGTAAAATGCATTTTAACAGTTAATTATTCCAAAGCCACTGAAAGAAATCACTACAATCACAAAACCCAATAAAAAACAATTAAGCGGAAAATTGTAAGCGGGATTGAATGTTACAAACCTGTGCTTAACAGGAAATAACAAGAAAGATAATAAATACATCTTCAATTTCCCTCTATAAAGCAAAACAACTCATCTTTACCATTAGAAGACGAAATTCATTTTATATTAGCTAAAACTGCATCTGAAATACAAAGATGCACATTAAATAGCCTTGGACGATAAACTGATCCGGCTACAATAAATGAGCAGATTTTTGTATTAAACAGAACTAAAAACTGTGGAAAGAGAATCAACTCTTCAGTGCATTTGAGGCTACTTCAGCGGATGATAATAAAGCAAGTACAGTAGTTTAAGGAAATAATTCAGATGAAATCTATAGTTTAGTTTAAGTGGCTTTCCTTTGAGGTCAAGCAAGAATGATTGAACACATTTTATTAATTACAGGGAGGCAGCAGCACATCAACCTTAAGATTAAAGTAAAAGCTGTGAATGTGTTGATAAGCTATTTATAAAAATGTTTCCTCTTCAAGAAGATAGGTGCAGATTCTTCATACCCTGTCAATGTTTGCCTCTGGTCTTAAATTTCTAAGCAGTTTAAACCAAAAAAAGAGCTTTGTAAGCGTTTTAGTAGAAAGGTATCAAAGATCAACTCTATTTTACCCAAGAGAAAAATCAAACAGGTGAAAGATAAAAAGTCTCTTTAAAGTTGTTTCGAAGTCCAAACACAGAAAAGATCCATTAAACATTGTGCAATTATGACGCAGCAAACTAAAAACTGTGCACCCAAAAAAATATGCAAACATTTGCACAGCAAGAAAGTAGGAGTGATTAAAAAAGCCCCGAGTTTTGAATAAAACTGTATGAACTTCTACTCTCAGTTTCTCAGTAAGCTGGAGGCTGATACTCTCCCGGGGTCTCCTGCTTGTTGGAGAACGGGGACTGCTGGTATCCTGCGGGGACGCTGCTGTTCCCATAGGGCCCCTGTGGGTACGGGGTGGTGTGGTCTTGGGCTGGGTCCGTGTAATCCTCCGAAAACTCATTCACTCCTTGGGCATACCTCTTATATGTAAAGTAGGTCAAAAGAGCCTATTGAGGAAAGATTGAATGTTTCTCTTTTGCAACATTTGAACCAGATCAGAGTGACTTTGACAAACAGAGACACAGGCTCACCCAGGTGATGATGGAGAAAAAGGAGAAGGTAATGACAGCTCTGGCAGCACTGGCTATGTATAACGATGAGTTTGATTTGGACCACTGATTGACCAGGACACAAAAGCAGATGAACCACAAGAACGTCCAAACAGCTGTCCAATGTCAGAACAGAGAGAAGAAGGTTAAAATGACATGTGACGATTTAAAAAATACTTCATGTTTTCAGTAACAGTTTCTTCATTGTATTATGCAGCCTACAATGAAAACCAACTCTCACCCGAGAAGGCCAGATCTCCAATGACGATGCGTTTCCTGTCCTTGGCATTGCTGATATTTGGAAAGTAAGCATCCGTCATCAGGAAAATAACACAAGCCAAAAAGGCCAGAAGTCCAACTGCCACCCCGTAGCTGCACGCACTGTTGTTACTGTTGAAAATGCAGGTTTTCTCATCTAAATGGACAGTATTAGTGTAACCTTCTGCTGTAATGGTTGCAAAAACCACAATGGAGAATACCTGCAACAAGAAAATCTACATAAGTCCAAACTGTCCAGCTGTGAGAGCTGCATGATACAAAGTACAGGAATGATTCCTTCTCAGCAAAAAGTACCTAAAACCCATCTGTTAGGCTGGTCTAGACAATGCAACGCCTATCAGATAGAGCTCAAGAAGTTTCAATTCCTGATCCTGAAAAGGTTTCAACAGATAATAACAACCAAATGTAGATTGGCATGTTCCGCAAGTTATTCCAGACTCCAGATATTCCAGAGATTTAAACATTGCTGCGCAAAATACAAACTTCAGTTTTCTAATTTCTTTCATTCATTCTAGGGCTGGGCGACATGGTCTAAAATCAATATCATGACTATTGAGGATTTCACCTCATTAACGATAAATGGACGATAACTACAGGTATACGCAGAAACAAAAGTTGTCCACTAGATGGGGCTGTCACATATTTTACATTGAGTCACATTTTTAAGTGACTCAAGGTGGTACAGCTTCTTAAAGGGGCATGAACATTGCCAACCTACACACACCTTTCATTATTTCTTATCAAATGTATTGACATGGGAAAAATTATCACGATAAGAGTCAGAAATTTCGATAACGATACATTTTCGATTTACTGCCCAGCCCTAATTAATTCATCAAAAAATAAGAGCTGTCTAACCCAACCTGGTGCTGAATGAAAGAGTCAATGCCCCCCAGAACTAAAGAACCCAAAACAATTACATGTTCAGATAAACCAGGTTGGTTTTGTCCCCTAATAAAAGTAATTATCGGTTCAAATCAGAACTATAGAATTTAGAATAGAACAGCATAATGAAGTGGTGGCAGCGCACAAGATGGCAACCTACACAAATCGGTCTATAACGCCTTTATCTATATCTGAAATGTAACGCTGCATTCATGAGTGCAAAGCAGGTAGCAACAGATGACGCAGGCAGGTATCACTTCCTGGTATCCACTGGAACGCATCACACTCACAGCAGCAAACCCTGCTGTACCCAGACACTTTAATGACCACAAATGCAGTTTCTACATTTGAAATAAAAGCCCCTTGTGTTGGAAGGGTCGATGTGTTAAGTTCTGTGTGGGGACACAGCAGTAAGTTAGCATGATAGCAACTGCTACTTTCAGCTACGGTCAGGTAATAAGCTCTCTGTAAAGTTTATTTCAAGTTTGAGAATTGTTTTACTTAAAAAACACTTACTGCTCCATCCTATCAGTACATAATGGTAGCATTATCTTTAATTAACAAGTTTATGATGGGCTTAGCAGAAAACATCTGTTAAAAGTGATGACAGCTGGTTGAGCTAACGCTGCCACTAACGTTTACTCACCCAGCTCAAGAAGCGCAAAATGGTATGCGGCTGTTTCACAAAGCTTTCCACGTCAAAGGCCCCGCCGGCCAGAGAGGCCCCGTAAGCACCACTCTGCATTTTTGTTTGATACACAAAAGGTTCTTCTGAATAACGTGCGACACGAGCAGCAAACTTCTGTCAAACTTTCGATCTTTCGAACAACTTCCTGTCTGACAAACTGAAAGGCCGTCCTTGATTTTTGGTGCGTTCAAGGGCTCCTCGGAAATTGAAAAAGTACTCAGGCGCAGCGGTGGTCAGAAGCGTTTGGCTTGTCTGTGGTTTGGGTTGTTTTTAATGAAATGCCAGTGTTGGAAATGCTCGGTTTAAAAACGAACTAGTTCAAATTTCGGTTCCTGCCGTTTAAAACGAATTAGTTCAGCTCGGACCCTTTGAGATACATCTCTGTCTAAGGCTTTGGTTCAGCTCATAGTTCATGATTAAAAACACTTTTTAACTTAGTTCACATCCCAAAACGAACTAGTTCTTAGTGAATATTTTGCTGCACGCAAGGATTTTTAACTTGAGGATTTTGGCCATGGTTTTGAAAAGTACGGACACATAGTAATTATCTCTATCGCCACGGGGAGGCACTGTGACCGCGTTTGACTTTCGATTTTCCTGGTTGCGTCACCTGATCTTACTTCCGGTTTTCTCCTCCTCCGACCTTAACTCGTGACAGGTTGCTGTTGCCAAAACTTCCGAGCGAAACGCAACAATAACATGATGTTGTTTTTCTTCGGCACGACTGCCCGGTGTACTAAACTAACATGAGGTCTCTAAAGGTAACTGTGTAGTTGAAGCGGCAGCTGAGGACGAACCGTGATGTGGAGAGTTCAAGGCTTAGTGGGAAGAGGTGAGAGGCTTGTCTTTGACACTCGATAGAGAAAAAAGTCCTTAACAGTTTAATTGTTTTTATATCAGAAGCTAGACTCATTGTGTTAGCCCTTCACAGCTGTTAGCCTGAAGCTAATGAAGCAGATGATAACTACCAGGAGTGACAGCATTACTGACTGTTTTGTTCTGCTCCATAATAAACAACACGCCTTGCAAAAATCGTACCTTTGCACAAGTGTTAGCTACCTTTCACTTTAGGCTTGTTTCTAAAAAACATGATTATAAAATTACCAATCTGTGTTAGTTTTTACTCCATCAGTGCAGATCACGTTGACAGCAAAAGAAACAGGCGTTTTAAAAATAATTGTTGCTGCTAATATGTAGTAAAACTAATGTAGGAGGGCAAACCCATTTCTGTATGGAGATTTTATTCAAAACTAACTCAAAATTGCAATTACAGTGGGGCAAAAAAGTATTTAGTCAGCCACCGATTGTGCAAGTTCTCCCACTTAAAATGATGACAGGGGTCAGTAATTTTCATCATAGGTACACTTCAACTGTGAGAGACAGAATGTGAAAAAAAATCCATGAATTCACATGGCAGGATTTTTAAAGAATTTATTTGTAAATCAGGGTGGAAAATAAGTATTTGGTCACTTCAAACAAGGAAAATCTCTGGCTTTCACAGACCCGCAACATCATCTTTAAGAAGCTTTTCTGTCCTCCACTCGTTACCTGTATTAATGGCACCTGTTTGAACACATTATCTGTATAAAAGACACCTGTCCACAGCCTTAAACAGTCAGACTCCAAACTCCACTATGGCCAAGACCAAAGAGCGTTCGAAGGACACCAGGAAAAGAATTGTAGACCTGCACCAGACTGGGAAGAGTGAATCTACAATAGGCAAGCAGCTTGGTGTGAAAAAATCAACTGTGGGAGCAATTATCAGAAAATGGAAGACATACAAGACCACTGATAATCTCCCTCGATCTGGGGCTCCACGCAAGATCTCATCCCGTGGGGTCAAAATGATCATGAGAACGGTGAGCAAGAATCCCAGAACCACATGGGGGGACCTGGTGAATGACCTGCAGAGAGCTGGGACCACAGTAACAAAGGTCACCATCAGTAACACACTACAACGGCAGGAAATCAAATCCTGCAGTGCCAGACGTATTCTGCTGCTGAAGCCAGTGCATGTCCAGGCCCGTCTGAAGTTGGCCAGAGAGCACATGGATGATACAGCAGAGGATTGGGAGAATGTCATGTGGTCAGATGAAACCAAAGTAGAACTTTTTGGTATAAACTCAACTTGTCGTGTTTGGAGGAAGAAGAATACTGAGTTGCATCCCAAGAACACCATACCTACTGTGAAGCATGGGGGTGGGAGCATCATGCTTTGGGGCTGTTTTTCTGCTAAGGGGACAGGACGACTGATCCGTGTTAAGGACAGAATGAATGGGGCCATGTATCGTGAGATTCTGAGCCAAAACCTCCTTCCATCAGTGAGAGCTTTGAAGATGAAACGTGGCTGGGTCTTCCAACACGACAATGATCCCAAACACACCGCCCGGGCAACAAAGGAGTGGCTCCGTAAGAAGCATTTGAAAGTCCTGGAGTGGCCTAGCCAGTCTCCAGACCTCAGCCCCATAGAAAATCTGTGGAGGGAGTTGAAAGTCCGTGTTGCTCGGCGACAGCCCCAAAACATCACTGCTCTCGAGAAGATCTGCATGGAGGAATGGGCCAAAATACCAGCTACTGTGTGTGCAAACCTGGTAAAGACCTATAGTAATCGTTTGACCTCTGTTATTGCCAACAAAGTTTATGTTACAAAGTATTGAGTTGAATTTTTGTTATTGACCAAATACTTATTTTCCACCCTGATTTACAAATAAATTCTTTAAAAATCCTGCCATGTGAATTCATGGATTTTTTTTCACATTCTGTCTCTCACAGTTGAAGTGTACCTATGATGAAAATTACTGACCTCTGTCATCATTTTAAGTGGGAGAACTTGCACAATCGGTGGCTGACTAAATACTTTTTTGCCCCACTGTGTATTAATGTTAGGAAACAAATCTGTTTCTTTTACTAATAGCATCATTTTAGAGAAGCATAGGAACTGTTACATACAGGTGCTGGCCAGTAAATTAGAATATCATCAAAAGGTTGAAAATATTTCAGTAATTCCATTCAAAACGTGAAACTTGTACATTATATTCATGCAATGCACACAGACCAATGTATTTCCAATGTTCATTACATTTAAATTTGATATTCATAAGTGACAACTAATGAAAACTCCAAATTTGGTATCTCAAAAAATTAGAATATTCTGAAAAGGCTGAATATAGAAGACACCTGCTGCCACTCTAATCAGCTGATTTACTCAAAACACCTGCAAAGGCCTTTAAAAGGTCCCTCAGTCTTGTTTTGAAGGCACCACAATCATGGGGAAGACTTCTGACTTAACAGCTGTCCAAAAGACAATCATTGACACCTTGCACAAGGAGGGCAAGACACAAAAGGTGATTGCTAAAGAAGCTGGCTGTTCGCAGAGCTCTGTGTCCAAGCACATTAACAGACAGGCGAAGGGACGGAAAAAATGTGGTAGAAAAAAGTGTACAAGCTCTAGGGATAACCGCACCCTGCAGAGAATTGTGACGACAAACCCATTCAAAAATGTGGGGGAGATCCACAAAGAGTGGACTGCAGCTGGAGTCAGCGCTTCAAGAACCACCACGAGGAGACTCATGAAAGACATGGGATTCAGGTGTCGCATTCCGTGTGTCAAGCCACTCTTGAACAAGAAACAGCGCAAGAAGCGTCTCGCCTGGGCCAAGGACAAAAAGGACTGGACTGATGCTGAGTGGTCCAAAGTTATGTTTTCTGATGAAAGCAAGTTCTGCATTTCCTTTGGAAATCAAGGACCCAGAGTCTGGAGGAAGAGCGGAGAAGCACAGAATCCACGTTGCATGAGGTCCAGTGTAAAGTTTCCACCGTCAGTGATGGTGTGGGGTGCCATGTCATCTGCCGGTGTTGGCCCACTCTGTTTCCTGAGGTCCAGGGTCAATGCAGCCGTCTACCAGGAAGTTTTAGAGCACTTCATGCTTCCTGCTGCTGACCAACTTTATGGGGATGCAGACTTCACCTTTCAACAGGACTTGGCACCTGCACACAGTGCCAAAACCACCAGCACCTGGTTCAAGGACCATGGTATCCCTGTCCTTGATTGGCCAGCAAACTTGCCTGACCTTAACCCCATAGAAAATCTATGGGGTATTGTGAAGCGGAGGATGCAATACGCTAGACCCAACAATGCAGAGGAGCTGAAGACGACTATCAGAGCAACCTGGGCTCTCATAACACCTGAGCAGTGCCACAGACTGATCGAGTCCATGCCACGCCGCATTACTGCAGTTATTGAGGCAAAAGGAGCCCCGACTAAGTATTGAGTGCTATACATGCACATTCTTTTCATGTTCATTCTTTTCAGTTGGCCAACATTAGAGAAACAAACATTTTTTCATTGGCCTTTAGAATATTCAAATTTTCTGAGATACCAGATTTGATGTTTTCATTGGTTGTCACCTATAAATATCAAAATTAAACGTAATAAACATCGGAAATACATTGGTCTGTGTGCATTGCATGAATATAATGTACAAGTTTCACGTTTTGAATGGAATTACTGAAATATTTTCAACCTTTTGATGATATTCTAATTTACTGGCCAGCACCTGTATACACTACTGACTCGTTGGAGAGAAGTTTAAGATAGTTGATGATTTTACACTCTTAAATGATTCCCACCACGAAAAAAAAAAAATTTTTTTATTCACTGGAAATTTTATGGTGTTTCTTTTCTATCCCACCACCTCTCAGTTCTGCATCGGTATCATGGCAGCAACTCTCTGCGTTTGCCACCGAACCCCCACGTGGAGGACGAGGTCATCAACAGCTCAGCCGCACTGTCCACCTCCAGACACCCCCTTGACAGCAGGTGCTGGCATTACTTCTTTTATTTCGGTTTGATGGCAGATAAAATAAAAGTAGGACAGAGAGTGAAGAGAGCATCTATCTTAATCTTAGTCCTCACACCTGGATTCTGTCATTGTTTTTTAGCCCCTCTCTGAACTCACTCTGTCCTTGCTGCTTAGTTTTCATCTGCTTGCATCATCCACCTGCTTCTGATGTGGGGGTGGGGGAACAGAAATGAAACCGTCAGGCCTAAGCCAACTATTCCTGATGTCTTATTACAGCAGACTAAATTATAGAAATGTTCTTTGTTGTTATTTTTGCTGCAGATCTCGGGAGGATGACGGGGACAGGAGGAGCAAAAAGAAGACTTTTCAGTTTGGGTCTAGGAAGCTTCCACACTACACCGCCCTGGATGCCGTAGGATGGGTAGGTGCTGTTGTAAGGATAACGCAAAGGTTCATTTGTGTTAGATTCTGGGTGTCACATGCTCGTTTTGGTTAGTTTTACGGTTTCTAGTCAATGCAAAAACAAACAAGAACCACCAGTGATTCAGTTTTCACTTCAATAAAACATTTTTTATTATTATTGTCAACTCCAGAGGAGTGATTTGCAATAATCCTGCAAATATCCAGTTTTGGTAAGAATCTAACTTATTTTTTTCTCGATTACTTACTGTCTCTCAATAGTTTTGATTGTTTAAACACAGAAGGGAAGTCCACTGGTCCTGAAAAATCATCAGTCAGACTCGAATATTCTGTTCTGCAGGTTGTTATTTTACCCAAACCCTACTTTAAGCTGCCTTAGGAATACAGAATGTCTTTGCAAGGATTGAATCATGTTATGATGACCCTCTTCATGTTTCTCCACAGGGAGCGGTGGCTGTGATCTTCATGCAGGTCTGCAGAAGAATCCACTCCAAGTTCTCTTCAGGCACAGAACCCAGCTCAAACTCTGAAACCCTGACGTCTCCGTCAGCTGTGCAGAAGTGTGGATACCGCATCCTGCTGGAGATACGTGAGTCCCTTTGGCATTGTGCACCCACAAGGACCGAACTGAGGGTTGAGGATTTGATGGGTTTCATTGCAAACAACTCTTTAACAGTTGTATGATCATAATCCTGATGATGTTCGCTTGCTTCTGTCTGCTGCAGTATCGAGGCGGGATGTCTTGCCTAGAGGAAGGCATTTGTTGTGTCTGCAGGCCGTGCAAGAAAAATACAGTCAGGACCAGCCTGCATCTGAGAGCAGCAGCAGCAGCGAGCAACAGCATCCAGCTGATGGTTCCGTTCCTGACCACCAGGGGGAGCTCCTGTACGAGGGTTCACCTACACCGGGTTAGTTCGGTGACTGATTTGCAGACTGATTTTAAAACATGCCTTTTTTGTGTATTTCTAACTGAGTGCTGAAATGTAAAAATGATATATTGTATGTTTTTGGGACACAGAAGAATCACTTTTGTTTGAGTCCTGCCCTCTGCAGTACAACACCAACCAAAGCAACAACGATCAAAAGGTCAGCATTCGCTTTCTTGTAGTTTAAATTATTTTTCCTACTGATTTGGTCATGCATCAGACAGAATTTTTCTTTTACGTTGATTATTTCATTTTTTTTATCTACTTGTGTGTTTTAGGAAGCATCGGAGGAGAGGCTGACTGAAGCAGCACTTAACCTCAGAGATGTTGGAGACAACAGTGTTCCTGTTATTCTCAACATCATCGGTACTCATTCACTTACTTAACTAATTGAAGGAATGACATACCCAATAATAAATATAGGACTTTGTGCGTTTAAAACCCTTTTACATTTACTCTGCTCCTGTGTGTTTTAACAGGTCTGGAAAATGACAAGAGTGAGAACTATGAGGAAGCTTTCACCTGCTTCCTGGCTGCTGCTCAGCAGGGCTACAGTAAGGCACAGTTTAACACGGGTGTGTGTTACGAGAAGGGAAGGGGGGTCCGCAAGGACAGGGACAAGGTAAGAGAGTAAAGATCCTAGTTGTTATTTTCTATCCTTTCAATAAAAATAAATACATTTAAAAAACTTGCCACATAAAATTCAAGAAACAAGCAACTCGGCTAATTCTCATTAGAGAAGCTCTGAAATATGATGACGTTTATTTTCTTACATTTTTCCTTTACAGTTTAATAATGTAAACACATCGTTAGCTGAAGCATATTTCTTTTTAATGTCACAGTTTAAATAGTGTCTCATATTTCTCTCCGAGGCTCTGTTTTACTACAAGCTGGCAGCCGTGGGTGGACACAAGCAAGCTCAGTATCGCTACGCTAAGCTGCTTCTGACCAGCAGGGGGCAGCAGAGTTTAGAGGAGCTGAACACAGCTATTAGCTTACTGGAAAAGGCTGCTACAGCTGGGCTCAGCAAGGTAAAAACAATTTAATACACTTCAGAATATGAACAACTTGGGAGAGTTAATTTTTTTAAATAGAAAAAATGTTAACGCTGTAATCCACCTGCTTCTTAAAAAACAAGAGTCTCGACCCCTCTCTCCATAGCAGCTTCAGACCCATCTCTAAACTTCTGTTCATTTCCAAGATTTTGGAAAAGGTTGTGGCTAAACAACTCACAGCTGCTCTTGATGAACATAACATCTATGATAGCTTCCACCTCACTCAGCATGGCTCTACTAAATACCCGCTCTGTTAACAAGTCCTTCCTGCTTAATGATCTAATTCTCTCTAAAAACTTGGATTTTCTGTTTCTGACTGAAGTTTGGCAGCAAACATCTGATTATTCTGGTCTGATTGAACTCTGCCCGAGTGGTTATTCTTTTCTTAGCCAGCCCCGGGGTTCTGGTCGTGGTGGAGGCCTAGCTATTTTGTTTTCAGAGACCATCATCTATGTAGCTCTACAACCTCTGGTCACTTTGCTTCCTTTGAACTGCAGCTGATTAAAGTCTGGCGTAAGGACCCGTCCTACTGTGCTGTGGTTTATCGTCCACCTGGTCCAAACAGTTCTTTCCTTCAGGAGTTTAGTGACTTTCTATCCTCCACTGTGACGCTGTCCAGACTGGTGATTGTTGGTGACTTTAACATCCACGTTGATGATCCCTCTGATCACTTTGCCATGAATTTCTCCAGCCTTATGGACACCTTTGGCTTTACCCAGCATGTTTCTGGCCCCACACACACCAGGGGGCACACTCTAGACCTTGTTTTTACCCTGAGTCTAAATGCTGACAGTGTTTGTCCTGAGGACGTTTATATTTCAGATCACCATTGCATTTTCTTTAACTTGTCAGTTTCTGCGTCCCCACCTCCTGCTCGCCACATGGTTAGTTCTCATTTTCTTAATGAGAGCACAGCTAGCAATTTTTCTGCTGCTTTTGATCCACCCTGTTCTTCTGATAACGGCCCAGATTCCTTAACTTCTCAGTTCAACGAGCACTGCCTCTCCATTCTGGACAACATCTGTCCTGTCAGAACCAGATCAGTTCCTGCAGTGAACCCTACTCCCTGGTTTAATGACAGCCTTCACAGCTTGAAGCGCCAATGCAGAAAACTTGAGCGTTTGTGGAAGAAAACCCATCTCCACGTCCATCTGCTGCACCTAAAGGATCTTCTGACATCCTTTAACTCTGCAGTCAGAGACGCTAGGGCTTCCTATTTCTCCAACCTGGTGTCCCAGAGCAACGGGAACCCCAAGGTGCTGTTTAACACCATCAGCAGCATCGTCTCTCCTGCCTCTCCTACAGCCCCCATCCACTCTGTTACAGACTGTGAGAACTTTCTGTCTTTCTTTGTGGACAAAGTCAATAAGGTTAGATCCAGCATCTCTTCTTCAGCCTTTTCGCTGCCTCTCCCGACTCCAACCAGGCCCATCATCCTAGATAGCTTTGCTCCTGTTTTTTTGCCTGAGTTAACCAAACTAGTTAACTCTATGAAGACCTCTGCATGCCCCCTCCACATCTTACCCTCATCTTTGTTTAAAAATGCTTTTCAGTCCATCGGTCCCAGTGTGCTCTCTATAATTAATGCTTCTCTGGTTTCTGGTCAGGTCCCTGCTTACTTTAAGAATGCTGTAATCCACCCGCTTCTTAAAAAACCGAGTCTCGACCCCTCTCTCCATAGCAGCTTCAGACCCATCTCTAAACTTCCGTTCATCTCCAAGATCTTGGAAAAGGTTGTGGCTAAACAACTCACAGCTGCTCTTGATGAACATAACATCTATGATAGCTTCCAGTCAGGTTTTCGTAGAGCTCATTCTACTGAAGCAGCTCTTCTTAGAGTCTCTAATGACCTTCTGACTCACAGTGATGCAGGGGACTGTTCTGTTCTGGTCCTGCTGGACCTGACTGCAGCCTTTGACACTGTTGACCATCACCTGCTACTGGAGAGACAGGGTAGGTCTATCAGGAACTGCTCTGGATTGGTCCTCTTCTTATCTCTCTGAGCGCTCCTTTTTCTGTGGCCGTCTCAAAGTTTTGATCCTCCACCACCGCTCTTACCCATGGTGTCCCACAAGGTTCTGTGCTGGGGCCTCTGCTCTTCCTCCTCTATCTGCTTCCTCGTCAGCACATCCTGAGCTCCTTCAAAGGAATCTCCTACCATATTTATGCAGATAACATCCAACTGTACATCTCCTTCAAGCACCATGAGATGTCTAAGCTGCAGCTGTTACACACCTGCTTAGACTATCAAAACATGGATGGCTGGGAGCTTTCTACAGCTGAATGAAGATAAGACTGAGATCCTCATCTGTGCCCCAGACAAGCTGGTTCCCAAAGTCAGAGACTCTCTTGGTCAGCTTGCTTCTCACACCAAAACCTCCATCAGGAATCTTGGCGTGACCTTTGACCCAGCTCTCACCCTGGATTCTCATGTCAGTTCTCTTGTTCGCTCTTCCTTCTTCCATCTCAGGAACATTGCTAAGCTGAGTCCCATTCTGTCCCACTCTGAACTTGAGACAGTTCTCCACACCTTCATTTCTTCACACTTAGACTACTGTAACTCTCTTTTCACGTGTCTGAGCAGAACCTCCCTGAACCGTCTACAGGTGGTTCAGAATGCCTGTGCTCGGCTTCTGTCCAAGTCCTCCAAATACACCCACATCACCCCGCTTCTCCTCCAGCTTCCCTGGCTGCCAGTCAACATCAGGGTTCATTTCAAGATCCTGGTTCTGGGGTCTCATTTATCAAACATTGCGTAGAATCCTTGCTAAAACCGTACTTAAGCTCAGCAAATAAAATGTACTTACGCCAAGTAGGTTTGTGATCTATCAAACATGGAGTACACACAGCTGCACGCAATCTCCTCTTCATCAATCAGAAACTATATAGAAAGGCTCTCAGCTGCTTTTTACTCACATCCCGCCTTCACCACACCCACTTACTGCCATGAATAGTCAATGCAAAGTGCCTTGTTGATCTCATGCATATACATAAGACTCCCGGATGAAAGTAATGCGCGCTAACCAGTCAGCCAAATGGAGATCTCCCTTGTCCAGTTAGCCAGGGCGCATGATCAATTGGGTCACGGTGACAGGACACACTGTCACAGACGCATGGCATTCTGTCTCAATCTGTCCCCCTGATGATATTCAGCATTCCGTATTCTGCGCTTCAGGTTGTGTGCGTGTGTGTGTGTGCATGCGCTGTGGCTTGTTCTGTGTGAAAACGAAGCAGTACAAGTGATAATGCTGCAGGATATCATAATTTTATCCTTCTCAGCAGCAGTTCTGCAGGTGCTCTCCATGTCCAAAATGTGCGTAAGCAAGGTCCTTAGTCAACTTAAAGTTGCGCACATTCTTCCGCTAAGTTTTCTTTCATAAATCCCAAAGTTTGCTTGGAAAGTTGCTTACGCAGTTTTCCGACCCCATTTTGTGCGTAAGCAAACTTGATAAATGAGGCCCCCTGGTCTATAGGGCCTTACATGGACAAGCACAATCTTATATTGGTGATCTTCTTAGTCCCTACACCCCCAGCAGGTCCCTGAGGTCCAGTGACCAAAGCCTACTGGTTGTGCAACGCATCAGGCTAAAGACCAAAGGTGACAGATCATTTGCTGCTGTGGCCCCCAGACTCTGGAACTTTCTCTCCCAGAGCCTAAGATCAGTGGACTCAGTGGTCTCCTTTAAAAGGCAGCTGAAAATTCATCTGTTCAGGCTGGCTTTGGTGACCTTCATCAGTACCCTCTCCTTATTCTGCTCTTTCAAGATTTTCCCGGCATCCACTAATTTCCCACTTTCCTTTTCATTTTCTCTCTCCCTTTCCTTACATTTTTTAAATTAGTTTTAAATTTTTTTCTCATTTTAAACATTTTAATCATTTTTTCAAATTTTTTTTATACTTGAAGTTTTTTGTTGTTCATTTTTTTTGTTTTTGTGAAGCGCCTCGAGATTTTTATCTTGAGAGCCACTATATAAAAGATTGTTTTCTTTCTTTCTTTTCTTTCTTGACCTAATAATCCAAAATTCAAGATAAAATTTTTTCAAAGACTCCAGAAGTGAACTAGAATTTTATCTTTTTTTTGTATCTAAAGTGAAACATCCTCTTGTAACTTGTGTAAAAATGGACTGATTTATGTTGTGTTCAGTGTTGGGAGTAACGCCGTTTAAGTATAACGGCGTTTCTAACGGCGTTCTTTTATAGGTAACGGAATAATCTAATTAATTGCTTTTCCCGCCGTTGCAACGCCGTTACCGTTACTGGGGACGGAACGCTGTGCGTTACTATGTGCTTGTGGAACGTTGAGCAGCAGTGTGAGGCTTTCCGACCGCCACACTTCAGCTACAGCCAGGGAGAGAGAGGTGTCGGTAACGCACTTACAAACACGATGATGATTGGCCGGGTGGGCGGAGACCCTCACGGTCTCAGTCACTGCATTCTGTAGACACAACGGGAATAACTCCGTTTAAAATAACCGCGTTAATAAAAAATATGTCTTTCTGTAACAAGCAAACTAATTAATTACGTCTTCTTTTATCAAAACGTTGTTCCTGTTACTGGTAAGGAAATGCGTGCGTTAAGCAGTGCGGTGTGTTGAAGCTGTCGTCAGCTGATCAGGAGCTAAAGAGGCAGATGTTTAAGAGCATCATGGCCCGTGAAGAACGAGGAAGACGTGATGAATAGTCTAGGGCTGCAGACCCGCAGATTTGTTGGTGCAGCAGCGAATCTGCGGGTCTGCAGCCGTGCCCTTAGCGTGACAGCGGGACGTCCCGAAGGTCCGCTAACCTGTTCACCGCTCAGATGTCCTGATCTTCTGCCTTCCTAGATCATCCAGCTGTAACCTGTTTCTGATCATGTCTTTAGTCCCGCTGTAACACTGATGCATCAGTCTCAGACGTCATGGAGCTCAGGTGTTATCAGAACTACCTGTGTGTGTTTACCACCCAGCTTCAGCTCTTCTGTGTTTGGGTCTGACCCATGTTAGTACATTTAAGTCCTAGGCTTGTGCCTCTTCTAGTGTCATTTTAAAGGATATTTATTTATTTATTTAACCGTTAATAGATTAGCAGCAACAGAAATGCTACTAAAAAGACACAATTATGTGAAGCTGTAAAAATTAGAATGCTGTGCAAAATTACATTTATTTCTGTAATTTAACTAGACTGAGAGACCATTTAAAGGCTCGGGAACCTTTACAGGTGTTTCTATTTGCAATTTTAAATTTTAGCTGATTGGGTTTTTGTTAAATATCACACAGTGACCTTTTAATAGTCTAGATTAGTGTAATGTTCCTATTAGTAGTTCCTCCTGTTAAGTGCTTATTTGTTTAAATTATTCAGGTTTATATAAAACATTTGGACATACATTTTATTATGTTCAGTCATTAGTCATTTATATTTTACTATTGTAGTAATTCTTGCATGCTTTAATGAAAAAAGTAACTAAGTAGTTACTTTTGTTGGTAATTAGTTACTTTTATGATCTTGTAACTCAGTTAGTAACTGAGTTACTTTTTTGACAAAGTAATCAGTAACTATAACTAATTACTTTTTTAAAGTAACGTTCCCAACACTGGTTGTGTTTGTCTAAAATGACCACAAAACATCAAAGTAATGCAGTAACTGATTCCAATTTAGGATTGTGTAGATTTTGAGCAGCTATAGTGATGTGTGGTTTCTTATAAAGACATAATCCATGGTTATATTTAAATCACAACAACTTCTCTCTCTTCCCCTCTTCAGGCTCAGGTCTGTCTGGCCTCCTTTTATTCTCGAGATCCAGGGAGATACGGGTGCAAGTTTGTGGAGTATCTGCAGATGGCAGCAGAGAGCGAGGTGAGTCCCCTTCTAGAGACTTCTCACTTCAATCAATCAATCAATCAATCAATCAATCACTTCACCTCCCTTCTCTCAGATGTAATGAATTATAAAGGCTCAGTGCGACTTCCTTTGGCTTTACAATCATATGTATTTACACGCCTTCATCAGGGCTGAACAACTATATGAAAAGATTGAATTGTGATTTTTGTGGTTAAAATTGCGATTTCAGTTTGATTAAATACCTTCCCCAAATCAAGCTTCAGCACATTTTTCACAGTATACAGTCATGTTAACAAACATGACAGGAAATGACATCATACCATCAAAACATTCAAAGCTATTATCCTAATAATGCAAGGGGGAGAACTAAAGGTGAGACTTGTTTTCATTTGTATTTATGAACAAAATCAGGCATGCAGAGTTTCACTGGTGTTGTTGTACTGAGGTGGACCATCTGGACTTTTCTCTGGGCCGTTTGTTTCTTTTTTCTCTCACAAAATCACCGCTATAACACCAAAGGCTTTGAATTACCATAACCCTACAACAGGATGTGCCGTCACGGAAATTCAAACAAGCACTTTAAACCCCCATTCTGTTGATGCAGGAAGTGAGCGAATCAGACTCAGAAAATAAGTGACAGGTAGATGGCTACAAGCATTGTTAATAATGGCTTGCCTTGAAGCGTTGCTGCAAAAACAAAAGCAACCCAGAGAAATGTCGTCAGCTCAAGAATTGGTCCCCGTCCCCGCTACCCCCATGACACTTTTAGAATCAGGAGAACAATCTTGAGGTCTAAGATTCTGGGTCAGTCAGGAACTCTGCAAAAATAAAAATCGCAGCTTTGACGATCCCATTGTTTGAAATTTAAAGTTTAGATTGGAAAATGATAGTTGTCTGTAATGTTGTAGCTCTGCAGCATCAGTGTTCTTTCAGTTTAGACGTTATGAGTTGGTTCATCTGCATAAATGCTCTCTCTTTTTGTGTTTGTGCTCAGGACGACACGGCCCTGTTCCTCTTGGGTCAGTGTTATGAAACTGGTTTTGGGTTGCAGCAGAATTTTAGGACGGCTGTCGAGTTTTACAGGCGATCCGCACAAGCAGGCAACAAGCAAGCCAGGAGTTTACTGACACCAGCTGATGTCACACACAACAAAGGTAGTGTACTGCGGGTGCATACTTTTTGTGCATCTGTAGTTCATAATCATATTGATTTGTGTTTCCTGTCTCTTACACAGCAGAGGACGCGGTTCTGCGCTCCATCCGCTCTGCACCTTGCTTCACTGTGGCTGAAACTCTCCTTCAGAAGCCACTTTCTTCTTTAAAGCTGCCTCTTCTTCCTCACTCCTGGAGCACCGGGAACTTGTCTCTTTCTGCACCTCTGCACCACTCCAGTGCTGAGGGTGGAGCCTGCCAGTGGACTGTAGGGGTGGGATAGGTAACAGGAGTCAAACCAAGTAGTTAAAGCCAAGGGATGCATTTCAAAGTGTGAGCGTTGTGTTGCCAAAACTTAAAGGTCAGTGTGTTAAATGTGTGTGTTTGTGTGTGCAAGTGTGGAAGAGTTAATAGCTTTTATACATGTGGGTCTAGATTCTTTTGTTTTTTTCTTGTTTGAACTAAATGTCTGAGAATAAGAGAGGAAGCTTTATGACTGTTTTTTTTAAATAAAGTCTGAACTGTGGAAAAAAAAATCTAGGTGCCTTTGGTAACATTTCTCTTCTTCTGCACAAGTCTGTGGAATTCAGTGATGCAGGTGTTGTACCGATCTGTTGTGGCGAAGACAGAGCCCTCGATTTATCGGTCGATCTACGTTCCTACCGTCACCTATGGTCACGAGCTTTGGGTAGTGACAGAAAGAATGAGGTTGCAGATTCAAGCGGCCGAAATGAGCTGCTGCATGATGTAACAGCAAATGTGGCTTCCTCCCCTTTTCACCCAAATATTTATCCTTGCATCCTGAAACACATCAGTAGGTGATCAATATCGAAAATGTATTACCCGTTACAGTTTAATTCTCCAAGATGGCAGGGCATGAAAAAATTACTTGCATTTTTGGAAGATGAGACTGTGTGTAATTTCTTACATAACCACCTTTTGTTGTCTGACCAACTGGTGTGAATTTCATCCCTGCCAAAAGCAACCTTGAAATTCTGCCTGTAAAAAAGACTAAACACGCAGGAAGCTTCTGGTACATTCTAAGTAATATTTCAAAAAGTAAAAATTTTCCATTCTTTAATTTATAATTTATTTATAGGTTTTCAGGACATCTTTAAAATGTATATCACTGACAAAAAGTTAATCTATTCTTTATTAAAGAGCGACACCAAAATAAACTTTTTTTTTTTTTTTTGCTGATACTGATAGTGCTGTAGTCATGTGTAGCCGTTTTAATTATTTATTTTTTTGTATTTTTGTGCATTTTCTTTAAAGACTAATTTTAGCCTAAAAAATCAGTTTCACCTATGGGTGAAATGTCTCAAAATACGTAGCCAGTCCCATGTTACGCAAAAGAGATCGGTGTGTTATAAAAGCAGAGTCTCAGCCACGCTGTAAATGGCTGCAAGCAGGTGGATTATGTCAACGTCATTTACCAAATTGTATATACAGTGGGGCAAAAAAGTATTTAGTCAGCCACCGATTGTGCAAGTTCTCCCACTTAAAATGATGACAGAGGTCAGTGATTTTCATCATAGGTACACTTCAACTGTGAGAGACAGAATGTGAAAAAAATCCATGAATTCACGTGGCAGGATTTTTAAAGAATTTATTTGTAAATCAGGGTGGAAAATAAGTATTTGGTCAATAACAAAAATTCAACTCAATACTTTGTAACATAACCTTTGTTGGCAATAACAGAGGTCAAACGATTACTATAGGTCTTTACCAGGTTTGCACACACAGTAGCTGGTATTTTGGCCCATTCCTCCATGCAGATCTTCTCGAGAGCAGTGATGTTTTGGGGCTGTCGCCGAGCAACACGGACTTTCAACTCCCTCCACAGATTTTCTATGGGGTTGAGGTCTGGAGACTGGCTAGGCCACTCCAGGACTTTCAAATGCTTCTTACGGAGCCACTCCTTTGTTGCCCAGGCGGTGTGTTTGGGATCATTGTCGTGTTGGAAGACCCAGCCACGTATCATCTTCAAATTTCCCACTGATGGAAGGAGGTTTTGGCTCAGAATCTCACGATACATGGCTCCATTCATTCTGTCCTTAGCACGGATCAGTCGTCCTGTCCCCTTAGCAGAAAAACAGCCCCAAAGCATAATGTTCCCACCCCCATGCTTCACAGTAGGTATGGTGTTCTTGGGATGCAACTCAGTATTCTTCTTCCTCCAAACACGACGAGTTGAGTTTATACCAAAAAGTTCTACTTTGGTTTCATCTGACCACATGACATTCTCCCAGTCCTCTGCTGTATCATCCATGTGCTCTCTGGCAAACTTCAGACGGGCCTGGACATGCACTGGCTTCAGCAGCGGAACACGTCTGGCACTGCAGGATTTGATTTCCTGCCGTTGTAGTGTGTTACTGATGGTGACCTGTGTTACTGTGGTCCCAGCTCTCTGCAAGTCATTCACCAGGTCCCCCCGTGTGGTTCTGAGATTCTTGCTCACCGTTCTCATGATCATTTTGACCCCACGGGATGAGATCTTGCGTGGAGCCCCAGATCGAGGGAGATTATCAGTGGTCTTGTATGTCTTCCATTTTCTGATAATTGCTTCCACAGTTGATTTTTTCACACCAAGCTGTTTGCCTATTGTAGATTCACTCTTCCCAGTCTGGTGCAGGTCTACAATTCTTTTCCTGGTGTCCTTCGAACGCTCTTTGGTCTTGTCCATAGTGGAGTTTGGAGTCTGACTGTTTAAGGCTGTGGACAGGTGTCTTTTATACAGATAGAGTTCAAACAGGTGCCATTAATACAGGTAACGAGTGGAGGACAGAAAAGCTTCTTAAAGAAGACGTTACAGGTCTGTGAGAGCCAGAGATTTTCCTTGTTTGAAGTGACCAAATACTTATTTTCCACCCTGATTTACAAATAAATTCTTTAAGAATCCTGCCATGTGAATTCATGGATTTTTTTTTTCACATTCTGTCTCACAGTTGGTGTACCTATGATGAAAATTTCTGACCTCTGTCATCATTTTAAGTGGGAGAACATGCACAATCAGTGGCTGACTAAATACTTTTTTGCCCCACTGTAAGTGGGAGTTAACCTGGATGTGGAAGTGGCGTTGGTATTCCGCCAGGCTTGGAGTGTTGCAGCAGACCAAACTTCTGCGTAAGTTGAAATATACTGTATTGCTCTGTCATCCTAACCGACGGTTATGCATTTAGTCTATTCAAAGACTGAGGTAGGAAATCAAATTCAGGGTGAGCCAACGCCTAAAATAACATCCCTCACTGAGTTGTTGTCTAACTTCCATCAAATAAAAAGAAAAGAATGACATCAGCTTACCTCCCTGGCAGCACAGAAACAGGAGACCAAAAAGGGTTTAACAGAAACGGCAACTCACCCCTACGATTCCACCTTTTAAAACTCTAAGGATTCACCTGTAGGTCACTCTAAGCACAACACACAAGGAACACAACAAGCAGTGGCTGGTTGGGGACCACTGAACTGGAGATCCCCAGGTGCTTCTCATCAGGATGCTTTTAACGAACTCATTGTATTCAGCGTTCAATCAGATCTCCTCTGGGCTGAAGAACAACAAATCAGGGCATCTCTGATCACCTGTATACTGAAAGTGACAATTAATTACAGCCTATTTTATCAGAGGGACAAGTTATACAGAAAAGAAGAATACATTGCGCCTCAGGGGCGTAAGGTACAAGCGGAATTATGGCGTTTTTAGCCCCAGTGACTTGTATTCATCTCTTGGTTCTTCCGGGAACCCATGGTCTGGCTCCCTATATATATTTTTAATAGAATAGATTTATTATATATATATATATATATATATATATATATATATATATATATATATATATATATATGTATATATATATATATATATATATATATATATAGAGAGAGAGAGAGAGAGAGAGAGAGAGAGAGAGAGAGATCAAATCAAATCAAATCAAATCAACTTTATTTATAAAGCGCTTTTACATGGCCAAAATGGACAAACAAAGCGCTGATATATATAGATATACATATATATATATATATATATATATATATATATATATATATGTATATGTATATGTATATATATGTATATATATATATGTATATATATATATATATATATATATATATATATATATATGTATATGTGTATGTATATATATATATATATATATATATATATATATATATATATATATACATATATATATATATATAGTGCATCTTAGTTAAAATGTAAATATTCTTCCTCCGGCTATTGAAGGGTGCAGACGCTTTTCTTCTCCTCTCCTCCAAATCTTATCCTCAAGGCCTTACCCCGGCTTTCCACGGGAGCCGTCAGCAGCACGTTACTGCAGCAGCATGTCATAGCTGCTGATAGGAACCGCTGTGGTCAACAGAACCTTTTCCACTGGAGCCGTCGGCAGCCGTCAGCAGCGCGAGTCGGCCGCGTCTCAGGAGCAGCATGTCGCGGCCTTTACGCGCTGGTTCTATTTTCTACGCGCGACGCCTCTGAAACGGGTCAAGTTCGACATTTTTGGGGAAGGAAAGACAGGAAATCGGACGCGGAAATGGAGAGAAGCTACAGAGATTTTCAGAATAAAGAACGTACTGCCTTCCGGTTGCTTTACTTTTAAAAAAGGTTACTAACTGTGCGTCCCCGTGAGAAGTTATCACCTAGCTAGCGGTCTCCTTTGTTTTTCAGGTCCATATTGGCAATTATAAAACGGACAGAACATAAAACACAAACCATGTTGTAGTTTTCTCCTGCTTGTTGTTGTGTTTACTGATGAAGCCACTCGTGTGACTTCGTGCTCTGTCGGTGACAGCTGCTCCCCTGCTGCTTCGCGTCTCGTGGGAAGGGCCAAGCACCAGCTTACGCGAGCAAGACGTGCTGCTGCAGTAACGTGCTGCTAACGGCTCCCATGGAAACCCGGGGTTAGTCTGTCTCTGTGTGCTGGGTGCACGGCTGCTTCTGCATTTTTTCTGGAAACTGGAAACTGAAATTCACTAAAATGGATCTCGTCAGCTGAGTCACTCAACGCGGTTGATACAATTTTTTCAACGATGAGAACGGGAGAAGGGGCTCCCGGATGCCTTTCCGGGACAGACCAGCTGTCTGTGGAGGACTCTGAAGATGCGTGGATATTCGTGGTGTTGGTGTCGGGTTTCCTGCTGATCGGCATTGGAGGCTACCTGGCTTACCGGAAAACAAGCTGTCGAGGAATATTGGCCAGATCCTGGAGCTCAGAGATGGTTTGCACCGCACTGTGAATACACAGACACACATAATTGCCTAGATGAATCGTAAGCTTGGGACTTTGGCCGAGATTCATTATTGGCACAAAAGATGGATGCCATCAAGGAGAGAGTGGACAAATCAGCACAGATTGGGATAGTTTAATGTCATTATTGGGATTTTGAGAGGTTGAGGACCAACAAACTGTAAGTCAGAGAGGAAATTATCTCTGTCTGGCCCCGAAACAATTTCTAATCAGAATCTGGCGTCCTTGAGCCTGCAAGGCTCCAACGAAAACTCCCCCCTCAGATGATGTGT